AAGTTCTTCAGAAGTTGCAAATCTTACTGCATATTGCTGCGAAACTTCCCAACAATTCCTAGTTTTCAATAGGGGCTAAATTTTCAAATTCCTTTTACTAAATCCTATATCTTTACGATATTGCTGTGAAATTCTGATTTTTCCAAACCGGTAAAGGTACTTCAAATTCAAATTTCAAGAAATGGGGTGTAATAAAATTTGAATTCAATGCCAAAATGGACAATCCCAGCATGAAGAACATGCATTTACCTGTTGAAATTTCCACAAATTCAGAATTTAGACCTGGGACTGGGTACAATCCGAAACAAAGAGAATGATTGGGTACAATCTAACAACCCGTACAACAAACCTGAGCATTTTCTTGGACGGACTTAAAAATTGAAGCACAAAGGTGTTGGGAAGATTTTACGAGGCTTTGAAAAATTAGAATTAACTCTCTCCGGAAATTCAACATCGAATTAATCTAATGATGAAACAAGATCTGTAATTCCACATTAACACGTTTCAAGAACAACGAATTCGGAAACCACCAACCAAAATTGAATCAACCCAAGTTAAAACTAAATCAAAACAGAGATAAATTGACATGCAAACCTTGAAGACTGATTGAAGAACACAAAATCTGCTGCTTATTGAAGCCGAACTTGTTGATGGGCTAGCAATTGCTGGGAGATGTTTGGGCGTGATGAAGATGAAGCGGCAAAGAGATTCAGTGAATTACTTCTGGTGAAAACGTATTGGAGGCAAATAGAAGGTTAATTTACGTGGGTTACGTAGGGCGGTAGGGGTATTGGAGGTTTACGTGGGTTACGTAGTGTTAATGGAATTTTTATTTTTGTTAAAAAAATGTTGATAAATTGTCTTTTCTCTTATTCTTTTTAATTATCTTTAACTTCGAGTATACATTTTGTAGGGAGAAATTAAATATAATAATCACAATTATAATGTATCAAACCGAAGTAAATAGGCATTTTTCGTAATTCATGAACAACAAAAAAATCTTACAACACATCTTAGGGTCTTAAATACTAAAGGAAAAGATAACCTACTGGGACAGTGGTTCTTTAATGGATTGGGCTACAAAGCAAAATAAATAAATATTGAAAATTATGAAATAAGAAATTATAAAGTGCCGTTTTGACTTAACAAACGAATTCAAACTCCCAAAACTCGGTATACATCACGGCGAAGCAATGAGTTGAATGGGAATCGTCGCGAGCTTTCCAGAAAGGGGTTATGGGCCCAAAACGGATACCGTATGCAAAAGTTACGTCATTTTCTTCGAACACCCACCATCTAAACGTTCCAAATACGCAAGTGTCTGTTCCTCAATGCTAATCTCATCACCAGAGAAGGAGAGAGATTGGCCGACGGTGTGTGTCAAATACTACAACAACTAATTGTGGTATGTTCAGATGAGCGGCAACATAAGTGAGTCCATTCAGATCTAATTGCAGTATATTCAATGCTTTGCCATGATGTACGGCCGATTTGGTCTAAATTTCATTATTTGACTCCAAAAAACCCTTTTTGACTCAATATATTTATCAATTATTTACTTATTTTTTTAGTTTTAAAGTTTAATGTTTTATTTAATTAAATAAACACGATTACAGAATAAAAAAA